CATGGTATAGATAATCTGTTCGGCAAGATATTAAAAAAAAAGCTGTCATTTATATTAAAAAGTGTTTGCTTTGCTTGTTACTTATTAACTTCCACAGCCAATAAAATTGTCTCGCTAACCTATTTCTTTCTTTTTTATGCACATATATGTAGAACAAGAACCCAAAACAGAAGATATTACCTATCCTTGATTGATTTTAAAGCACGTGACATTATTTCAGTATTATTCTGTGTGAAGCTAAATAGCTGTTGACATTATACTTGTTTTAGTATACGTGTAAACTAACGCAGCTGTTGACATTATACTTGTTTTAGTATACGTGTAAACTAACGCAGCTGTTTTTGTTAATACCAGGTCAATGACTGTGAAACAGTACACTAAATATTCACTTCTGAGTGTATAATGAGAAGTGGGTTAAACAGGTAAAAACCTGTGGTTTAAATTCTGTGCACAGTTTTTACCAACTCGAATTCCTTGAATTTTTGGAGCAAAAGCTGCATATCCATACAATTATAGTTTAGGGTGCATAAATGGTACAACTTTTTAAAAAATCATAAAGTATATTCACTATTTCACATCTATATGTTTTTCTTTTATTTTTTACACGTCTCATTTATTGATAGATTTTATTTGCTGTCAAGTAAATCTCTGGGCCGGGCGAAGTATGGTGGTTGGTGTGCCGGGCTATGAATCCGAGGAGCCATGGTTCGGGTCCCATTGCTGCAAAATCACACTATGTGCTTTAGGGACGTGAGTGTGCTACAATAATTGACGTTTAAATCCCAATATTTAGCGGTGGGTGATGTTGACTAGCTATCGTCTTTCTAGTCTATCAGTTCAAAGTTAGGGACGGCAAGCAAATATTCGAAATAAGCAAACAATAACTTCCAGCTTAATGAGGGATTAGACTAAACCTTAAAGATCTTGTACCAATGTATCCAACATATTAAAACTTTAGTTTATTTTAACTATAAAAACTACAGTTGAAAAGAAAAGTAACTCTTGCAATATTTACGTACATTGATATGGCCTGATTTACTTGTCCAACTAGAGAACTGGCCAACAAAACTTACTACGCAAACTTGTTAATATTCAATAAAACAGGTTATTTTTGTTATTTGCAAAAGCTAAAGGATATCTTTTAATTTTTACAAGCGTAAACGTGTACAAACTTTTCATCGTAGAGATACGTACGTAAGGTGTGTTTTATCGTTTAGTATGACATACTAAACGTAATATTACTGAATTTTGTTGGAGACAATCATACTTGCGACGTGAGCAGTTTGAATTAAACATTTTGAAAACAGCAATAAATTTACACATAAGGATTTCCTCAGAAATCTGAGAGATAACCATTGGATATACAATACGAAATTTATACGTGTTATAAATAGTTATTGTTTCTATTCATGTGAGCAAGTGGAATATAAAATAACACACTCTGTAACAGAGAAGTACATTGGAGTACAAGTTTGGTCGTATTCTTGTAATTTTTATTATTAGAGACTAACTCTGGGCCCCAGTGCTGCACAATACAAAGATAGTAGTTCCAAAAGAGTAACATCGTTATTGTTTTAAAAGAGAGGAGCTACTGTATCTAAATAGTTTATTATATAGAAACACGAAGCAATCATAAAACGGAGTTTTAGATATAGAGATGATGTTTCAATAAAAAAAAGTTCATTTATTTGCTGGTCCCAATCATATTCCACAATTTAGTAGCTTCTGATATAATCAACCTGCTGGATAAGCTTATTCTATACATAATACATATTTCTTTCAAACCATTTTCCGAGTTTCTGTATGTGTGCTTGCAATTTGATGTGGATGAGGCAAAACATCGGCTTGATTATAAGAGGACCCAATTAGGAGAGATGACTCTTTAATTTCGAAGTTAATAGATGTTTGGGGATCAAAAGTCAAGTAATGATATTTTTGTTTAAAAACTGTGAAATACGTAATTAAAGAAAATCTGAACTACAATGGACTATACTGATAATTTTTAATACTCTTAATTTGAACTGAAATTTTTGGACATGTTTATTGGCTAAGAAGAAGGCTTTTCCCGCACTCTTTTAGCGTCGGGGCTGAGAAAAGTGATTTAAAGTGGTAAGGCGACTAAGTCTGTCAGCGCGTCACGAGCTTAACGGCCAAGCACAAGAAGCATGGAAGTCTCCATATGACATACAGAGGTATTCAGGAACCGTTTAGAACCACCTTGGCAGATATTGTGCAGCATGCCGAGTGCAGTTTTATCCCTGTAGCTGCTTTCAAAGTTTTTCTGTCTGCTAAAAGATGCGTCCAAAACCACCCTCTTTGGGAGTTTCCGGATTGAACTTGCTTTTGATATTCAACACATTGTAGTGAAAAAGACACCTCCTGGCTCCTGAGGGACGTGTTAATAACTAATACATTTAACACGGGAAAGAGGACTGGATTCACACAAAGTATAGCCCTCTTTCCGTAGTAGTTATTAAAGTTTTTGTTATTAAATTTTGTCATCACAATATATTTGGATATTTAAAAATGTTTGGTAAATATTTTATATCTTCTGACTGGCAACTAATCTGTGTTTGTGGATGATACATGTAAGAAATTGATAATTTTCTGAGGAAGTATTATTCTTAGTGACGTTAATACAAGTAGTTTATTTTGTTTTTAATTTAAAATTCTTATTTTATTTTATTATGTGTACGGTACAGCATATTCAAAAGATGTTTATAAGTAATTTTATACTAGAAGTCGCCGAAGGAAGGAGAATACAAAAACACATTAAGCGCCGTAGTGTCTGGCATGGTTTAGAAATATCACATTTGGAAAGTCCATTAACTATCAACTTTTAAGTGCATATCATACTACACAGTTGAGTGTAGTTTGACTGTGCGTACACGGCATGTACCGTCATGATATTGCAGCTTGGATAGTCGTGATTCCCGAAAGATATTAAAAATTTCACTTTTTATGATAGCTTTGTTGGAAATAGGTGTTGAAGTGAATCTGGATATTCGCAAAATATTCACCCAAATTTTGTAAAAGGATTAATCTGCCTTTCCCCATTTGACGGTAAATATGTTTTCAGTTTTTCTGCACTTGACATTGAAGGTGTTTTCAATTAATCTACCTTATTTCTGTACTTTATAGTAAAGGCGTTTTCAGCTAAACCTCCTTTACACCTAACAGTAAAGGTGTTTTCAGTAATCTGCCTTTTTGCACTTGACAGTGAAGATGTTTTTCAGTTAATCTACCTTTATTGAGTCTGCATATGATACTAAAATTACCTGATGATGACAAAACCTTGTCGAAACGTTGTACATTTGCTGTTATGTTAAACTTATGTTAAAGTTTTTCTTCATTGCCCATTCAAGCCGTCTCCAGCCATTATTACACTGTATTATATGTGTGTTTAGCAACAGGGGAACCTCTCTAAATGACCTGTTTTACCATGGAATAGAAGCGAATTCTGAAAGTATCATTTAATACTAAGCTACTGGAAAGTGATCACAGTAGAAGTTGAATTGTGGAAAACATAACTTTATACACGTTGTAAGTTCACATTCACTGTAATAGTTTCATTCATATTTAACACCCCTCATGGTATTGGCAAATGGACTCGTCCAGTGCACACGCTAGTTTAGGCTGCTCAGTCATATTATCAGATCGCACATTGTTCAACTACATTGCGTCGTACGATCTCGTTGTTTTGGGGTCTGGATGACGCAAGAGGCTACAGGAGACTTCGTAGTAAGACAAGAGTTATAAGACAGTAAATTAATCATCTCGTTAAGGGGTTGTGGTTGTAACATTTGACACAGGTTAAAGGGCATTTTCAACACCGGTTCTAAATCGTACTGTTCTTTCTCAAGTTAGTCGAGCAAGGCGACCTTTACTTAATGAAAATACTTTGATAACATAGATTGGATGTAACTTGCCTATGTAATTATATCCGAAGATTCTTCATCATTATAAAGTTTGTTACTTTCAAAACAGCAAGCTTTTCGAATGTTTGTGTAAAGTCTTCATGAAGCACTTCTTCAACGGAATGTTCGTCCTCAATTTTGTATGGTAAGTTGTAAGCCTTATATAAATTAGTATAATTAATCAGCGCCTAATAAGTAAATATAAAAATAGTGCATGAAGTGAAACGAGCGCCGTTTATCAGCTAGATCTAACAGTAAACATACCTTTTTATCGGTTTGATGAATTGGAGTTTTGTTAAAATTTCTTCCAGGCTTTATGCTGAGTTAATTCCAGAATTAGAAAATGTATTGTAAACAATGTTTCAATATTATTACACCTCCAACGGGGCGTTTCTTACACCTATTATAATGCATCTAATCGTTCAGCTTATATGAATAGGAACAGATTTAAAAACGCATTTTTGTAAGAAAGCAAAGCTTGTGTACCGAATAACAAACCTGATTTCTAGTTAATGGTGTGAACTCAAGAATTATTCGGGTAAGAAAGGTGACGTAACGGTTTCGATCGCATTCTGAAAATTGCACCCATATATTTATAAAACATACTTAAAAGGTGTTTAAAAGCCTCAATGAAAATTACATTTTTCGAAGAGATATTCCCCGACCCCTAAGGTATGGCTTCGCTATTCATTTCCTTTATTCTTTCAAAAGTAGCCCCCCTCCCCGTTATAGATTTCTTCCTACGCTCTTGAAAAAGCTAAAGCATTGTATAATGATAAGTTGTTAGTGAGATTACAGTTAATGTGTTACTATTATAAGTTTGTCCCCTGTGTTATAACAGTATGTTAATTGTAATAACATCATGATCTACATAACTGTAATTCCAGTATGTTTTGTTTGTGATAGAAAATATTATTTTAATGTAAGATAATTAATTCAAACTGTATATATGATGTATGGGTTATTTTTAAAATGTTAGCTTTTATTGATTTTAGAAGACTTCTAAATGTATTTGTAAAATAATGTTTTAATACATTTAAATTTATGTAGTTGGAAGAAGCAGATTGCTTGTAATTTAAACAATTTCTTGTTAAATAACACTATGGATTTATAGGGTGCAATGCAGTGGTATAAAACGTCCAAACTGACGAAACGATAAGGCTTAACACACGTGATATTTTTGTTTTTGTCGCATTCCTCAAAATTATTTCAATAGGGATTCATAATTAAAGATATGTAAAATATAATTCACACATGTCTTTGCCTGTCGCATATTATGCTCAGAAGGTCTTTCGTTCAATACCAGAAATCATCAGCTGTCTTTGGCCGTTTGGCAGGCAAACATATATCTGGCACGTTATTTATAAGTATTTTTGGTATTTCCAGCTAGAAAACCGTTGTTGGTTTTTTTACTATTATTATAATGTTTCGTTGTTTTTTCAGCCATATTTGTTGACATTTTGTGACGAAAAAAATCTCAGTATCACAAATTTATAAATCATTTTAAGCACTCAATTCGTATTCGAATGCTCTGTAAGAAGGGGGTATCATAAGAAAAAGTATCATCACGTGAAACCAAATCTCGTCTTGTGTTCGGGCGCGGCTGTTTGGACCTTTCGTGCCTTGTTTACGGCGATTGTCTGGGTTAAATTAACAACAAAATTTTAATTTTATTTTTTAATTCTCATGAAGACTTCCTATTACATCTGCTATGTCATGAGCGGGGTGAAAAGAAATCTTAAACTTAATTAGCACCCCTGATTTTTACATAAACCTAAATACCTGCCACGGACAAACAAAGAACGTCATCGACTCATAGTAAGAACACACAGATGTCCCAAAACGTCGTCAAAACATAATATTCAAGGAAAGATACCGGATAGTGAAAACCTCCTGATGGTGGCATTCATGTTTTCTGTGACTATTACTAGTAAGCCAATTGAGAACAGAATTACTTATATTTTCACTACCCCCACTGCTTTTCACTAGGGCAACACAGTCATAATAAAAGTGTTGTCCGTGCTGTCATTAAACACAAACCCAGTCCTCTGAATCACTACCCCCACTGCTTTTCACTAGGGCAACACAGTCATAATAAAAGTGTTGTCCGTGCTGTCATTAAACACAAACCCAGTCCTCTGAAAACAACAAGAACAAAAAAACTATCAGAATTCATCCCTTCTTATAACTGTTTTCCATTATTCTTCAGTTCTTATGTCTGCGGACTTACAACGCTAGAAACCGGGTTTCGATACCCGTGGTGGGCAGAGCATAGATAGCCCATTGTGTGGCTTTGTGCTTAACTTCAAACAAACTTATAATCAAAGCGCCATCATTGCCAACAGCTTCAATTCACAGCTGCAGCTTATAGGAATAGCCGATTTCTGAAATGAATCTGGGTGACACACAATGGATGTGCTGCCCTGCAAACCCTTAATCCCCCGTTAACTTCTTGGGTGATGAATTTAGTTTCACTTGTGTAGTTGCGCAACACGTTAGTAAGTTGAAAAGAGCAGCTAGTCTGAAACTTCATCTTAGCACATACAACAGTCTATAATTTCTTCAGCACCTTTCCCACATATGAGTAGATGGACTGAAACATCTGAACATTTGTAGCACCAAATTCGATGACAAGGAACCCACTTTGAGAATAATAATTGCTGGAGACGGCTTGAATGGGTAATGAAGAAAAACTTTAATATAACAGCAAATGTACAACGTTTCGACAAACTTTTGTCATCTGATGATGACAAAACCTTGTCGAAACGGTGTACATTTGCTGTTATATTAAA